CAGAATCACAAAGGTTAAGAAAACTTACAGCATTCACTACCTCTGAGTTCTATATCTTGTTATCATATGCTTGCAGACTGAAGAGAAGGAAATAAAGTGCTTATTTAACCAGAAAGAATTAATTTTCATTGTTAGTCTTCTATAAGACTAAAGAAGAATCAAAACCACCTGGTGACTTCTGGTGACAAGTGCTTAGCTTCTCAGGGTCTGAGGTACTCCCAGTGGAATAAAGGCTCAAATTCAAAACACACCTCCTGTTTTACATTTCTATACGTCCCCATTCCAAATAGTTTTTAAGTAATAAAAATTTCTCTAACGTAATAAAGATGAAACCCCTCTTTGTTTGCTCTTTAAAATAAAGCTGATAACATAAAAAATACTTCAACCTATATTATTGGCTACAATTCAAATTGCTTACAGAACAGATGTTCCAGCAGGCCCTAAAAGTTTCTCCACACTCATGTGAATGTGGTCCCCAGGAGAGCAGGGATTCAAAGGAGACAAGCTGTTGGAACAATACCAGGAAATGTGTGTAAAAAGCTATTTTTTTAAAACTATATTTATTTATAAAAATAAGCCTTAAAAAGAAACATGAGAGGAAAAAAATCTCCTGCAAACTGGAAGTCTTGAGATTCTCCAGCAAGCAGGACCGGAGAAAGCAGGTGAGAAAAACCAAAGCATGCTGCTTGCATTTTGGTGCAGGAATTCATTCATGACAGTTAAAAACTGCAGGCAGAATCCAGCTCAGTTCAAATGAAAATCATCTATCTGAACACAGGGAGAAGATTTTATCACCTAGACTGTTTCCTGCCTTTATTTAAACTACGTTTCCCTGAGGAGGAGAAAAACTGAAATCAAACCACAAACCCCAGATTTGTGGGTGCATATGTGTTTTCTAAATCCAAATTCAGCTCCTAGTAGGCCAGCCCCAATTAACAAGATTAGTTCCTTTTGAAATCTGTGGTACTATTTTTGGCATCCAGACCAACATGTCTGTGCCAGTTCTCCCCAAGTGACAGTGCTTCTGAACTCTTTCATACTGTACAGCCGCTCTGTGTTGTCCTGAGAATTTTGCTCCAAGACATACATCACTTCACTGGGGAGCTGGATTAGTTCTTTCCGCTCTCTCATTATAGGAGAGGAGTTTTGACACGGCAGCTAACGTTCCCTTGGCACCCAGAAGATTTGCGTGAGAAGACAATAAAAGGAGGCAGGAGCAGGAGCATAGGAAGAACAATCTTCTGTCAGCCCTCTGTAAAGACACCAGTGCTTTCCGAGACAAGAGCTGTGGACAGATGGAATTTATCTCTTTCACTCTTAATTACTGTGAACTGGAAGCCCTTGTCTTTGACAGAGAATCTGCAGCGTGGGCTGCATAAGACCTTGGAAGATTCCCACATCACTATTATTCTGTGGCTGGCATGGGCAAAAGTCAACAGTTAAATATATTGTGTCCTTCATGTCAGAACCCTGCACTGCCTGTTTTCCCTAGGAAATTGTGTCTTCCCTGGCCGTCTTTTGATTATAGAATCATAGAGTGTTTTGGGATGGAAGGGACCTTTGAAGATCATCTCATTCCAACCCCCCTGCCCTGGGCAGGGACACTTCCCACCAGACCAGGTTGCTCAAAGACCTGTCCAACCTGTCCAACTTCCAGGGAGGCGGCTGTCACAGCTTCTCTGGGCAACCTGTGCCGATGTTTCACCACCCTCATCGTAAAAAATGTCTTGCTTACTTATAGTCTAAACTTACCCTCTTCTAGTTTAAAACCATTACTCCTTGTCTCGATCTTTCTTACAGGCCCCCTTTAAGTATTGAAAGCCCACCATAAGGTCTTCACAGAGCCTTCTCTTCCTGAGGCTGAACAGCCCCAACACACTCAGCCTTTCTTCATAGCAGAGGTGCTCCAGTCCTGATCATTTTTTTGGCCTCCTCTGGGTCTATTCGAACAGGTCCATGTCCTTTTTATGTTGGAGGACCCAGAGCTAAACACAGGTGGGGTCTCAAGAGAGCAGAGCAGAGCAGAGCAGAGCAGAGGGAGAGAATCACCTCTCTTGAGCTACCTGGCCACGCTTCTTTTGATGCAGCCCACAATATGGTAGCCTTATGGGCTGTGATTGTACATTGCTGCCTCATGTCCAGCTTTTCATCTGACGCTCCCAAGTCCTCTGCAGGGCTGCTCTCAATCCCTTCATCCCCCAGCCTCTATTGATACTGGGGATTGTCCTGACTCAGGTGCAGGACCTTGCCCTTGGCTTTGCTGAACTTCATGAGGTTCACACAGGCCCACTCCTCAAGCTTGTCCTGGTTCCTCTGGATGGCATCCCTTCCCTCCAGCGTGTTGACCGCACCACGCGGCTTGGTGTCATCTGCAAACTTGCTCGATCCCACTGTGTGCATCATTGATGAAGGTGTTAAAAAGCACAGACCCCTGAGGGACATCACTTGACACCCATCTCCATCTGGACATTGAGCCGTTGACCACTACCCTGTGGTGCGACCATCCAACCAATTCCTTATCCACCCATCAAATCTGTACTTGTACAGAGTAGTAGGAGTGTCTTGATGCTAGGTGCCCTCTAACTGGATATACCAGATGTTTCCTTTAACAGATTGGGTACTGAGGACAGCTGTGCCACACAGGGTTTGACAAGGTGGTTCCAAGGACCCCCTTAGTCTCGCCAAAGTGATGCCTGCCCCAGTAAGGCTACAAGAACAAAGATGCTCAAAGGTGACTTAGTGCCACTTCTCATATCTGGATCTTTTCTTGGTCCCACATACCAGCATAGCCCCCTGACTTGGCTTACTAAGCAAATGGCTTAGCCAAGGGTGAAATTACCAACCTCTTTTTAGAGTCTGCAGCTAGAGCCCAATAATGGCTAATCCTCCTGCAGGCAAAATTATAACAGGCAGATCAGATTCTGTCTCCTTTCCTGGCCTGCTTCTTGGCAGGGTAAATAGCCACGTGCACTAATTCATCAGTCAGCTTGGAAATATGGCCTGTACTCTGATGAGGCTGTTGTAAGACAGCTCCCCAGGAGCTTGTGGAAGTCTGGTCCTGTGTACTGTGATCCTTGCTGACAATTAGCTTGGAAAACAGAGACCAGCCAAACAACCAGACCCGTTTTAATGTTCTCTACCTAGTTTGTATTCGTCTGAAGAGTGGGAGGGTTACCTCCAGTTACACTCAGGCACATACTTGTTCTCTAAGTGTCACTTTCTGTGACAGCTACATGTTGTAGATACTGCAGCACAACAGAACAATTCAAATGCATGAGATGCAATAAGGGCGACATTTAGAAAACCATCATTTCCTCGTGTCTTGGGTAAAACCCTACAAAAATGGCAATAATACGGTTTTTAGCAGCCTTGAATTTGCTTCCAGGGGCATAGTGATTGCATACATCCCCCTTGTGAACTCTAGTCACAATTTTTTGTCACTTCTCCACTGGAATCAGAGCTAAGAGAGCCCGAGAAACCTGACCAGCTTAGATAACATGCTAGAGTATGCTCTGTAAAGGCTGGTGGTTTGCCAGCTAGTAGATCTGAAAGGAAAATTATTTTTCATTTAACAGGGAATGTCAGAAATTTCAAGGCTTTTCCCTTTCCAAAACAGTGTGAAAACAAACAACCAAAACTTCATGAATCTTAGATGAAAGAAGATAATGTTGCTTGCAACTGTTTCATTTGTGTCACATCAGCAAGGAGATCAAACCAGTATCTTTTCCACTGGCATCAGAGGCAGCTCAGCACCTTGCAGAGTAGACCTAGAAGTGATACAGCATACAGGGAAATCAAAGGACGCTATTCTCCCTTGCAGATTAGAGCAACAGCAATTTCATTTGCCCTTCACTGTCATTCCACTTGCTGTTTCCTTTTCTGTTTCTCAAGAACTGTGTCCTGGCAAGGGGAAAATTCTGTTCGCTACACCTGCTGCTAAACAAAGCTTCACATTCTGGAAATGCATGAAGAGAGCTGATCTTCCTAGACTCAGTATACTTCTAGACTCAATATACTTATGCTTCTCCTTGACAGAGCTTACCCTTACTCAGCCATTATTTGATTTTGCACGTACATCTGAACAGACTTTTGCAGGCTCTGACACATGCCTGTGACGAGACACAAGTCATCTACAGTCAGGCACTGGGACATCGTGCAAAAATGAATGGCAGAGAGAGGAGTAGGAAAACAGGATTTGCTTTTTGCTGTGCAGCTTTAGTTCCTGAGGCTCAGATTGAAAGGCTTCAGAAGGACATACCCATTTGTTGCATGCGTACCACACGGGCTGTGCAGTGGGTGCTTGTACTTGTAGAGACACAAGGTTAGATTGTGTCGATGTAAAACCTCATATTAGATTTTAAGAACACACGCACAAGCTGTGAAAAACAAAGATGAATTTGTGCCTAAAACTGCTTGATGCCATTTCTTTAAAAACTGCACTGTTAGCTAGCTTAGTGGAGGTTAAAATGATCCTGTATGGTCTTAAGCTGTGGGTGGTCATGTTTCCATGGTTTTCTCCATGATTTGCTTAAGATTTCTTTATTCATCAGAAGTCAGTAAAATAAACCCAAACATGAGTGCATTTTCCCATGATGAGAGAATTTTGAAATGGCAGAGACCTATTAGTTAATTTGCTCCATCTCTCAGTCAATGCAGAATTGGTCCAAATAATGTATTTGTCATCATTTTATTCAATGTGTTTTTAAAATTCTCAAGATTGCAACTAAACCCTTCTGTGACATTTGTCCTGACATCCAAGCCAGGCCTTTCCTGCTGGCTTTGTTGCCTGCACTGCCCATTTTAGGACTGTAACCTTTAGCTTTTTGCCACATGCTCCAGGGCTAAATTGTTGCTAGTGCACTAGAGGAGTAAAGCATTGATAGCTCTGACATTTCTAACTGAGCACCAGGCAAAGAACAGAGAGCTGAGAATCTGTGGTATTCTCCAAATTGGTTATCCCTTTCCAGGTTTCATGCATTCCCCATTTACAGCTCTTTTACCTTGTTGATGAGACTGGGATCACTAGGGCTGCTCTCCTCGTCTTCTGAACTCCTCTGTTCCTCATCTGATGTGACGACCTCCACTGGTATCACAGAGACTGGGCACACCTTGTAGGGCTCAGTGTAGGCACTACACAGAGACAAAACAGATTAACTCACTGGTGTTATTCCCACACAGTAGCTATTGCTCAGACTTAACAAATCCACGCTCAGAGATAGCCAGTCAGGGGGAGGGAAATACCTGCAGACCTGCTAGGCTTGGAAGGCAGGATCTGAAAGCGGCAGCAGAAAGTTAACTGAACATACTCAAGTTTCCCGAGAGGACCTCATGTTCTGGCTTAGTTTGGAGCAAAAAGTTCATACTTGGTTGCAACCAGAACTGCCTTGTTCCTCCCTAGTCAGCCCCTCAAAATGGGTTTAATAAAATCATACTAACGTCTCAGTGCCCATTAAAAATAGAAGTTAGATATTGTAACAATAGGTTTTCTGGGAAAACATCCAAAGGTTGAGAAGAGTATAACTGTAATACCAATGGCATCAATTAAAGCACTAGGTACTCAAATGGCATCAATTAAAGGACAAGGTACTCAGATCCCAGAATCCTTGAGTTCTTTCAAGGGAATCTGAATTCAGGTCCAGAAGCTTGGAGAAAGCGATGCTATAATAGTACTGGATCTGGTGTGTAATACAGGCCAGTGGCCCAGCACTTCCTTTTAGAAGAAATAAATAAATCATGTTTTAAAATTAAAATTCTCAGCGATTTCAAAACCTCCACAAAGCAGGATGAGAGGTAGGTTCCCCAGATGGTGCCTGTCCTTTGTCTTAGAACTGTGTCTTTTCCCAGTGATTTGAATATGCCTAGCTTCAAATTCCAGATACTGGATCTTGTTTAACCACTGGAGGCAGTCTTCCAAATTTTGTTACTCTGCAAGTACTCGCAGGGTGTATTCAGGTTGTCCCTTCCTTTTTATCTTTTATATGAAATAGATGATGATCTTGGTGTCTCACCTCCTATCATTTAATAACTTTAAAGTCTCTGAACTTTATCCAATTATCCATTAGCATTATCCACTTTAACATTTTATCACCAATTTAGCACCAGTTTCTACTAACAGCCAGTTTTAGTACTGTTCTTCACACTGCAACACAAGATTCAATATTCTAGCACTGCCAAAAGAAGTGCCAAGTATACCAGTGGTAACAGCCATCTATTCCTACCTGTGTTTTTACATTCGAAGATCATACTGGTATTTTTGGCCGTAGTATCGTTCTGGGAGCCTACACACCACAGTGGCCCCAAGCCTTTTACATTTCCAGAGGTAGATTCCAGCATTCAGCCACCAGGGCAAGCCTGTTGTCGTGAGAAACAAAATCTGACACCTCTGTGTGTTCCAGTAGACATCTGGGCCAACCAGGTCGGTCTGTAGCATGGACCTGGCTTACTCAGTGTATGTGATTTCTTTAGTTCTTATTTCCTTTGAAACATTATTGATTTGCTTTTGCAGCTCTGCCTCGTCTCTTTATTTTTCTTCAATATCCCACTCAGGGATCTCAGATGTGAACAAATACAAAGCTTCAAAGCCAATCCTACAGTGACAGAAGGCTGGGCAAAGATGAGTTAATGTTAGTGGGAGGACAATGAAGAAAGATACTCCCAAGGCCACTGATTAAACTCTTTTTAGAAAGGAAACTCCCTGCATACCTGAATTCATTTCCAAGCTGCAAACAGGGATCTGTGTCTCCCATGCACATGTGGCTGCCAGCCTTTCTTTTGTGCCGCTAGCTTTTCCTTCATGCGCAGAGTCAAGAAGCTCTTGCAGGCTGCCCAGTGCATTTGCCATGGCTTGGCAAAGGGTCACACACGAGCACTGTTCTTGAGCATTGTCTTCTCTTGTTTGTTATTAGTGTTTGCTGTTTTTCAGTGTGGGTGGCAGCACTGCACTCCCAAAAACCTGCCTAGCTACGACAAAGGGGCCTCAGCACAAGTGAAAGCGAGAGCAAGGCAGATACAGGAGGCTTGTTAATAGCTGTATTAAGGATACAGCTCAGGAGACTTATTAATAGTTTATCCAGTCTCTCTCCTTATTCACATAGCCTTTCTGCAATTTGTAATTGTTTGTCTCAGTAGACATGAAATGAAGGCTCTCCTTTCTCTCTCTCTCTTTCTCTCATTATAAATGACTGCATTATGTTAATGTAAGAACACATTATAATTTGGGAAGAATGCCCCGGTATACTAGTCTGGTAGTCAGTATGAACGGCATTATTAAAGGCTCATACAGTCGCAGGCCTGCAGTCCAGTGGCACTGGTGTGTGTTTCAAGAGAAGTCCCAAAATGTTATGGGTCTCATTTGCATAGGCAATCAGCATAGGCATGTTTGTGCCACCCTCTCCATCCTGCCCTTCTCCAGCCACTGCAGCAGCACTCAGGTCTTCACTTCTGGGACTGCTCTATACTGTCACAGAGGTCTTGGGCAGTACACCTTTCCTGATGTGTTTTATTCCAATCAATTCACATCCTTTCATCCATTTTACACGTCTACCCTTTTGTGGTCTCCTAGCAATCCTAGTCCTGAAGACATGATCATTGCCCAGGAACTGATTACCAGCTGGGCAGCTTGGTTTTCACTAATCCCACTGCCAGGTTTTAGCTAGTTTTGTGCAGCTATGCACATTGTCAGCAATGTTCTTGTGCTTACTTGTGAGATTTCACCTACTATGATGGAAGGTAAAAGGATCTAAGAATAGTCATGTTATCCTAATACTGTTAAGTTGCTGAAACTTTGAGAGCTATTCCATCTAGATTTGTCCATATGTGCTCTGAAATTGCTCTTGAAACACATTTGGAACAGACAGTAGCTTTTTGAGGCAAATCCAGTATGATTCTCAGCTACCCTAGGTACACAGGTGACTGTCTTCAATGAGATACCAATGTCAGTTCATCTGTCTTGATGCCGCATCCAAACTGATCTTGAACACCCCAATGATGAGGCATCCACAACTTCTCTGGTAAACTTGTTCCAGTGTCTCATCACCCTCACACTAAAAATTTTCTTCCTTCTGTCCAGTCTAAAGCTACCCTCTTTCAGTTTAAAACAGTTGTCCATTGTTCTGTTACCACCAGCCTTGGTAAAAAGCCTCTCCATCTTTCTTGTAAGCTATTTTATAACTTAAGCCCCCTTTATATATTGAAAGGCCACAATAAGGTCTCCCCAGAAGTTTCTTTTCTCCAGGCTGAACAACCCCAGCTCTCAGCCTTTCTTCACAGGCAAGGTGTTCCAGCTCTTTGATAATTTTTGTGGCCCTCCACTGGACCAACTCTAACAGATCCATGCCTTTCTTGTACTGGGGACCCCAGAGCTGGATGCAGTACTCCCAGTGGATACAAAGGCAGAGATGATTAATAATCTACTTGCAAGTTTCATATAAGTAACTGCTTTGAATGATCTCTCCTAGTTTGTCCCTAGCGTCTCTGGGCATATACTGCATATCTCTGCATTTCTTGTTTTGATTTCTATCCTGCAGAATAAGGGAACACTTCATTCTGAATGCACTCTTGAGCTTGTCATTACATTCACTTCTAGGGCAACTCTTGAACCTGTAGAAGATGGGATCTCTGGGTAGCTACAGTTTACAGAAGTAAACTTTTGGTGCACTACTAGAATCCAGTTAGTGACAAGTTGTACTGTTAAACTAATTGTCTAGCTGCATTTCCAAGTATGAAAATCCTGAGCTCTAAACATGACAGCTTTGTCATGATCAGTGGAGTCCCTAATTACAGTTTAGTTGGTAAGACAAAGAGACATTGGGTCCTTTGGATGCATAAATATCTTGCTGTGTTTAAACCTCACACTTTATAGAATCATAGAATCATAGAACAGTTTTGACTGGAAGAGACTTTCGAGATCATCGAGTCCAACCTTTTCCTAGCTCTGTCAACACCACTAAACCATGTCCTTCTCTTAAGCACCTTCAGGGATGGCAACTCAACCCCCTCCCTGGGCAGCCTGTTGCAATGCCTAACAACCCTCTCAGTAAAGAAATTCTTCCTAATATCCAACCTGAACCTCCTTTGGGGCAATTTAGGGCCATTTCCCCTCACCACTAAGGAGAACAGACCAACCCCCACCTCTCTGCAACCTCCTTTCAAGTAGTTGTAGAGAGCAATAAGGTCTCCCCTCAGTCTCCTCTTCTCCAAGCTAAACAGCCCCAGATCCCTCAGCCATTCCTCAGAGGACATATGTTCCAAATCCTTTACCAGCTTGGTAGCCTGCCTCTGTATCCTCTCCAGCACTTCAGTGTCCCTCCTGTAGTGAGGGGCTCAAAACTGGACACAGGACTTGGGGTGGGGCCTCACCAAAGCCGAGTACAGGGGCATGATCACCTCCCTGCTCCTGCTAAAAACACCATTCCTGACACAGGCCAGGATGCCGTTGGCCTTCTTGGCCACCCGGGCACCCTGCTGGCTCATGTTCAGCCGGCTGTCCATCAACACCACCAGGTCCTTCTCTGCCTGGCAGCTCTCCAGCCACTCCTCCCCAAGCCTGTAGCGCTGCTAAGAGATGTTGTGGCCAAAGTGCAGGTCCCGACATTTAGCCTTATTGAAACTCATGGAACTGGCCTTGCCCCCGCAATCCAGCCTATCAAGATCCCTCTGCAGAGCCTCCCTACCCTCAAGCAGATCGACACTTCCACCCAGCTTGGTGTCGTCTGCAAACTTGCTACGGATGCATTCTATCCCCTTGTCCAAATCATTGATAAAAATGTTAAACAGGAGTGGCCTCAGTCCTGAGCCTTGGGGAATGCCAATAGTGACCGGCTGCCAACTGGATTTGGACTGATTTATCAGTCAGATAAGAACATCATGAAGAGATTGTGAAAGGCAAGGGTTTGTGTTCAGGCCTTAATTTCCCAATGTTCACAAACATGGGAATTGGGCATTACATTCCCAGGTGCTAAGAATGCATAACCAGTAAGACATGATGTTACATCAAGTCTCCGTCTTCACTGTGGTTTGTAAACTTTTTGTGGCCTGCCTCCTTCAAGACAGGCTGGCCTGAGAAGTTAAGAAAAGAGGGGTGCTCTTTCCTGTTAGGTGCTGATATTAAGGTATCCCCAGAGCTCTCAGTT